TTCCGTGTTGGCGAAATACCCAGCATTTCCTATTATTTATTAATCTTCAATTTCTAACTTTTAGATTTATAAGCAAAGAGCATTAAATCAGCACATGAATGAACCCCTGATGTTTAGCCAGCACTGATCAACTATTTCACTATTTCACCAGCAGAAAGCCAAGACCACTCCAGTAAGATATATACAGAATATTGTATCAGTCAGGATTAATTTTCTATACAAAGACCTTTTTCAATTGTTTTCTCAGGCTAAACTGCACTGTGTGTGATGACTGAGGGATTAACGGACACAATCAAATACATTTCAGCAGCAAGAACACAGTTAAACGGTCATGAGTTGAGGATAATCAACATATTTGGAGTAAGCCGCTTTGAATTTTTTTTATTTTGATAGATCAGATGGATATTTACTCAAAGATTATAAGGATTTAGATTATTAGTATTGAAATGTAAGTTTTATTTCAGGCTATCATCTTAATTCCTTTCATTTATATTGAGATGTTTTGAATATAGACCATTTTAATTTAGACATCCGGATACTTGCAGCTTGTAGTTAATGAGACATCTACTCTCCCCATCATTAATCTGCTACATTTGTACAAATAACACAATTATCTTTACAGTTTACAAGTTTAGCTAGAGTTGAATGGCGCTTTGAAATAAACTTGTAGATGCAGATCATTTCAGGCAGCTGTTTGATGGATTCTCATAACATTTGATGATCCTCGTCACGTCATCGTCAACTGTCTGCTGTCTTGACAAGTTACATGCAGTCCAAAGAACACGCTGTGATATCTGTCATGCACTTATTTTATTCCTCATTAGTTTCTCTCTTTTCCTGTTGATGTTTCTACCCACCTCCTCATCTTCCTGCTCGATTCCCGCCTGGAGTCTATGTGTCTTTTTTCTGACATTTCGCTCCTGCTGAGAGATTAATTGGCTATCTACCTCTGAGATGAATATAGGTGCCTCATGGGCATCCTTCAGTTTGCCTTGTCATCACACACAATTACACCATATACATACACACACTCACTCACATACCTCTCCCCTACAGTCTTTTGTCAATCTGGTATTGTCACACTGGGAATGACGACACACAGCTCAGCACTTGATTCTTCTTTTCATGTCTTGAGAAAACACAATTTGATAAATGTGTACTTGATGTACTTGAAGCTGACTGTGGTATTTAACAGTTTCATTTATAATCAAACCACGAGCTTGCCTGCTAGGCGTACATGCTGTACAAAGCACATAAAGCAGATAGGTCACCAGAGACAAAAGCTTAAGCCTTTGATGATAAAAGGATCAATCACTCCGCTAGAGGACGACCAGGAAGGTTTAGAAAGATTTGTGGTGTTATTGGACACATTAGAAGAATGCTTGAGCTCCGATTTGTGTCCCGTGAGCAGATTTAAAGATTTTTGTATTCTAATCAGATGTTTTTTTTCTCCTAAATGGAAAGTATATGTCAGACTGTTATAGATTGAAAGCACTTAGCCCTCTAAAACATAGCTTTACAGGATTTTCTGCTCTTGGAGAAAATAAGCTACAGAAGTTGCTCTTTCTCCATTACTCTATTTTAAACTTTCATGGGCTTCCTGAGTGAGTCCAACGCAGAGTAAATGCTGTGGGAGGAGGTCTTGTCAGGCTACGTTAACTAAGAGCTGCGATGAGAGAGAGGAGAGAGCAGCACAGTCCGTCAGTTCAGCTGATGAGTTGCATATTTTACGCTATATTTGGTTAACATCTCTTGTGGATGTTTTTAGAATGCGCTCCAGCCTTACAGGAGAACCATTTAAAGTTCAGAACAAATTCCCATGAGAGGATTAGATTTTAGACACAGGGAGTGGATAGGGAACAAACTGCGAAGAGGTTATTCACCCATTCTATTTATACAGTACATAAGACCTGGTTCGGTTGCCTCCTTCCCGTAAACTAAGTTAGAAACCTGCAGTGTTGGAAAACACAATCTATGCTTTTGTAATCTTTTGAGCATCCGAGCCATCGCATGAAATGTTTTTCACACTTCAGGCACTCTGGGTGACACCTTGCCAGTCAGGCTTTCTCATGTCATAAACTGTATTTAAACCAATAGTTAAAGGACAGTGACATGAAACCCTTGAGTACATACTGAAATAGAAATCAATCCAAGCCCTATGTGATGTATTGACTGCCACAACAAATTACCCGGTAATAGTCACCTTCAGTAGGATTTGCAGTTGTTCTGAAGTAGAAACATGGTTGTCATAATATAGTAACAATACGTTTATTTAAAATCAAGATAACCTCACTGCATGACAGGAAATGTAAGCCCTGTAGTGTTTTCATTTATCTCAGTGGCTTCCATTTGGTTGTTTACTGTTCCTCACGTAATGAAAAGTTAAAACGTTGCCTGTTGTCTTGATAAATCCAGTGTAGTGCCCTTTTCCAAAGCAATAATTCCACAACTACATTTAGAGTCATCTCTGACATTACAAACCGAGGGAGACAAAATGTGGAGTCATTTCACAGGATGTATTATCTAATGATTGCTCATGTGGTGCACACAATCTATATCTTAGTGTAAGTATCTGTGCTTAGTATGGGCTTGGTAGACGCTGCTGTACCATCCATATTGTCTACACACAGTACAACAATATACCAATATTTTCCTTGTACACAAATCATGAGCAATGACATAAAAGGGGACAGTGTTAACATCTCGTTTATTTTTCATGTGTTTGTAGGTTTGTTGAAAAAAAACTGTTAACAAAAGTTTGCAAACTCCTGTGTATGCGTTTGTGTACCGTATATGTGTATGGATGCTCAGTGTTTCCCCTAGGATGGAGTCATAGCAGCGGTGCTAAGGCACGTGGGCCCAGCATAATGTGAGCGCGGAGCGCGTGGAATTTTTTAGTGCGTGCGAAGTGCGCCCCGCCAATTTGTTTCTATGTGTCAGCACAAGAAAGGCTCTTGAGGCCTAGTACCAGGGCCGGTTCTAGACAATTTGCTGCCCTAGGTGAGATTTTAGGCGATATCTTATGTGTAAAGAATAAATGAAAAATTTCTACAAAAGACAAATACACTGCAATAACAGAAACTTATTGACATAGGTAATAGACGTAAAAATGGCTTCAAATGTATTCAGTATTGTATGAACATGTTTGAATTGGGGGGTGGACGTCACATCCTTTAGGGGGGTCCGGGGGTATTGTAAAATGCTTCAATCTGGTGCACTTTGAGCACACAATTACTAGAGACCTGATCTAGGGGGCACAACTCTAAAACGCCCATATGAAAAAGATCGGTTTACATTTTAATAATCAAATAAGTATGTGAACATAACCAATAACTACCATAGCCAATAACAAATAAATGTAGCTTATTTTATTTTTTTCTTGTTCATTCATATCTTATTTTATCTAGTTAACATTTATTTATTTATGCACATTTTTGTATCTCTCCAACTTTAAACGATATTTTTGGTTTACTGTCCTATAGTATACATTGGAATGATTTCAAACCTGTTTTTATTTATCCTAATAATTATAAAGGAGTGCCTTGGAAATATGTGTTTACATAATTTGTGGTCAAAACGTTTGAGACCCACTGAGATAACTTAGACTAAAATTAACTATCTAAATACTCAGAGAGTCCTTTACCTCACTGAGCCTCTCAGTCTGACAGGAGAGCTCTCCTCCACCCTGGTTGTAGAAACATCTACTTCTTATATCCGTTAGCGCAGCTAGCACCAGATTCTAATAACATCAGCGCCGGTACCGGTGCGCCCTCTCCCTTGCTCGCTCTCTCTCTACCACGCTACCACTTTGGCTGTGAGCTGCGGGCGCCTGATAAGCCAACATCCCCCACTTTCATCACTTACAGCGCCCACTGTACAAGCCAAATTAAACGTGTAACCGGGGTGAAAAGGGTGTTACATTTACTTAATTATGAATGTTGTTACATCAAGGCCGAACATTTGGATGAGTACCAACGGTCAAAAATGTTTTTCCCTCCCAGAGCTACCAGCGCAGCGCCCCCCAGATCTGGCGCCCTAGGCGACCGCCTGTGTCGCCTATGCCAGTAATACAAATACTACAAATCCACATAACAAACAATCAAAAATGAAAAAGGGTAGCCACTTATTATTATTTTAAGAAAAAAAAAAAACAATTATTTTTTTTTTGGGTACCTGGCTTGCTCCCCCTAGCAGCGGCGCTCATATTTCAGCAGCGGCGCTGCACCGCCACTATTTGTATATAGGGGAAACACTGCTAACCCTGACCTTAACCCAAGCCTGAACTGGAGCTTGACCTAACCCCAAGTAAGGCAGAGACCAATTTAGTTGCTAAATTGCATCCATTTACACATCACATTTACAGCCTCCAGAACACATGACAAAATAGCAGACACAACTAGAGAATGCTTTTCCTGAAAAGAAGTTGCTCAACCCTGGAAATATCTAAATGATTGAAAAGTAAAGTAAAATAATTAAAAAGGGAAGACAAACAAAGCAAAAAAACTCAACTTCATTTTATTTTGAATGTTTTCAGCACACCACAATCCTGCCACCTGTTACCATTTTACAGCTTTTATTTTGAAAATCGAGACATTTCCGGGGACCTGGGATTTTTTTTTGACATGGTTAAGACTCTTATTCTGAAATGTCTTGAGGTGAACATTGTTCAAATTCCTCCTATTGCAAATAAAAAAATAAAATGCACTGCAGAAATAGCAATGCTGGTACTTTCTGTTCTGTTCGGTTGTGTCATGTTTCGCAAGTGTAGGAACAACTGCATTTCGCTGTGAAACCCTGTGTGGCAAGAAAATACATCATTCTTGAGTATCCTCCTCTAAATTCCCAAAATAAAAGTCCCAAAGTATAATTATAAAAACCAAGAGTTGTTTTATTTGTTTTCTTAATATAATGTAATTTCTTTCATGTTTAACAAACTTGTCAAGTGAAATAAAGGTTTCTAAGTAAGTTGTAGATATACAGAAAAACTATTGACGACGACACACCATTTAATATATTTATTGTTGTCTGTCTTTTGTCTCTTTACATGGAAACACAAGATTGATTTCAAAGCAGGAGTTACAGTGTATAATGCATCAGACATGGGTCCAGTGCAAACATTTAAAAAACGTTTTGAACGGAAAGTAAATGAAATAGTTAAGGGGAATGTATATTCTTAAATATATATGTATTTAATATATTTGATTTCTTTACAACTTATAAGAAACACAGCTGTCCTGTCTGTCAATTGACATATAAAACGACACATTGCAAGCTGTTTCTATTTTAAATCATTACTGAGTTTGTCCACCATCCCTATAATATATTACCATATATAACCATGGACCTACAGGTTCAGAAAGAGCAATTTGGCCAATGGATGAAACAAAGAAGGCAGAAATCCACACCTAAAAAGTGTATAATAAGTATCTCTCCTTCATATCCTTACTTCCTATTCCTCTTTCAACTCATCATAACCAACGATCACTTCAAATACTAAATCCACATTTTGGCACCTTGAAACAGTGGCACCGTTATACCTCCGCAAAACAGCTCATGTTTTCAGGTAGGAATGTTTTTTTTGTAAGCAGGAATTGCTGGCCCAATCTTCCTGATATTAAGTGGAAAGGTGTAGCACTGGAAAAGGAAGTATTACATTTTAGAGTACATTGGCCTAAGCAGGTTGGCCTTGGCCATTGTCAATTCACGAGTAGTAAGGGAAAAAAAAAAAATGTGTTTATCCTCCACGGGATTTGGATCTGCTCCAACCTTTAATGGGTTCTTCTTCGCACCATGCTACTGTCTTCCACCAAGTTTCATGAAAATCTGGTAAGTGCTTTTTCCATAATCCTGCAAACAACCAACCCTAAAGCACCAATGGTTCGGCAGAGGTGTTGAATTGCTTTGTACACGTTTTTTCAAGTTTTGTAGGCAACAGCAAAACATGTATCTAAAAAGCAACATCCATATCTTTCTGTTAGCTGATACCTGACTCAAACCACCATCTACTTCCTCTAAACTCTGTCCTTCCTCCCCTGGGGAAGGAATTCCTGCTAACTGAACACCTGTTGCCATCTACATCACACCCTCCCACACAAACACACACTTTCTCTAAACTGCTCAGGTTGTACAGTCAGTGCAGCGCAAAATAATGTTATTTGTTGAAGTAAAACACATCCTTTATCCCTCCAATACTTAAATGTCTCTCCAGCTTTTCTTAATCTGGTGTGACTAATGTTTGGTGTGGATTTAGATCTGACATGTGAGAAGAAGAAAAGGAAGATCATTAGTGCAGCTTGGCTCAAATGTTCATCACAGGAGAAGACAGAGAAGTCGGTATTCCAATAACCCACTCAAATGTTCTCATTGTGTCTCAAAACTGTAACTTTAGGTGACGAATAGATTAGGTGTGACACTGACTCTGGATAGCTTGTAGCAGAAAAGTTGTTTTTTAAAGAAGGATGAAGAACGATGCAGATAATGCATGATGTTGAATGGAACATAAAATTAGCGTAATATATTTTTGGTAAAACCATAAAAAGATTATACCAAAAAAATGCCTTCAAAATAAAAGAATAAAACGTTTGTACTGAGCTAAAACGTAACCGTATAAGGATTGTAACCTGTCTTTGAACTTCCAAGTATCACTTTCTACACGACTGAATTCATACATTAGCCAAATTAAAACCCATCTGACCGAATCTCTCATGGTTATATGATTGCATAACAATGGTCAGCCAATGGTACTCAAACATTTACATTATTGCCTAAAAAAGCAAAGGATCTGTGATTGAATTCACACAAACTTGCTGGGAAAGAGAGTTTAAACAAAAGGCTGATAAATGTGAGTCATTTGGACACTAGCACCACACGGTCACCAGTGTTCGTGAACTAATGTCCACACACATTCTTTTTACTTCATATAATTTGAATTATAGTGTGTGAAATACAGTTTGTGCATTTTTTTTAATCTCATGTGGAAACTGCACAGCTAAGTAACTGTGTATGAAGAGAAAAAGTGCTGCTGCTAGCCAACCCGCTACTACATACGCTAGTTACCTGTTAGCTAACAATGTTAGCTAGAACATCTACTGCAGCTATAGCTAGCTTGAAATGTTAAACGGCTGTTAGCTAGCAATTGTGTTTAGATTGGTTCATAGTCCTGTATTTCCATGAACTGTAGCCATGTTAGCTATAGCTATCTGGTCCGGCGGCGGTAGTTTCCTGTATGAACAACTTAGCAATGCGACAGTCATTATCAGAAAGTACATTTTCCAGTTTAAAATATTCTCACAGAACCAGCTGCAATATTTATATCAAGTCAATAATGAAAACTCAACGAATATAATAGCCTCAACATTCAAGAGTAAATATAATATAGAGGATAAGAATAACAAAGTTAGCCATTTGGGCAAAATCGGACGAAGGAGGGTATATGGAACATGGACAAATTACAAATTCACATTTGAAGGTAACACCAATTATTTCTTCTGTCCAAAGCAAACAAACAAGGTTTCTTTTAAATGAAAAGTAAAACATTTCAATTGCATTTATTTCTGTTTCAATTTGCGAGAGACACATCATGTCTGGGAGATTCTTCAGGCCTCCACACGTCTGATTGGTCTAGTTCATATCTTTTTTTACAGTATAATAATATTGGCCTATCTCTAACTTTTAAATCATAGATAATCTCTCAACACCAAATAGTCAGTTGGGATTTGTTAGGTTTTTATACTGAAGTCAATACTTCTTTGGTGTTTCACTGTGTAAATGACAGTAAAAATAAAGAACATATACTCTACAGGCCCAGCTCATTGGATCCAGGCTCAACAAAAACACCTAAAAATAACCCATCAAAACAGGTGTGCGTCCCATGTTGGATAGTGTAAGAAAAACTGATCCAAAGCCTCAGTTATTTCTTCAATACAGACTACATAATGGCTTTAAATTTCACCACTGAGTAGAAAATCGACCACAAAACAAAATTCACAAGACACAATATTTGATCTTCGACCAAGAGCCTTCAAGTTCACTGTCAGTGGCTCCTGAACTTTCAAAAGGGTGTGGAAATAACATTCATAAGCCTGATCATAATTCTGTACACATACATAAAGATGGCTTGTCAATTATAAAATATTTAGAAAAAGGTGTATCTTACAAGAATATATACATCCGACGCTGTACAAAAAGAGATGCAGAAGAAATGATAATAGCCTGTTACTGCGGAATAGATTTATAATTATACTTGTGTTGAGTACAAGGCTAGTTAGGTCCAGATTATGGAATAATGAAACTAAAATGATATGGTCCATGACTTAGGTGGAGGGAATGCTTAAACTGGTGAGACACTGTATTGGGTTTATGTTACAAAAAACATACCTGCATCATCACCATATGTTTTTCCTAATACATTTGAAGCTTCTCCTGTGGTTTTAAAGAATACTTCAATGTCTGCCGTTACATTTTATGGCTTCATTGTGTTGTTAGATTGCTTCCGATTCACCCTTCTAATTCAATTGCATGTGACTTAATTTGAGCGCAGTTCAACCTTTTGTATTTAAAAAGCTACACGCAAACACATAATGATTTTAGAAAAAAGGAAGCAGAGTAATTCGTTCGATAATCTTTTGGGGACATTTTGGAAATCATAACTTTTTTAAATAAATCTTGTCTTTTTGGCAATAGAACATAATCAAAAGTTATTGAATTGCGTCTTCAAAACAGTAATTTAATCCTGAATATTAAAAACGATGGATTCAGTTCAAATGAAAGGATTGAATCTATGCTGTGTGGGGTGTTATACTGACTCACTGTCACCTCAGACAAGAGAAAAGGAAACTGCCTTGAATAATATATCAGTTGGTAGTGCATAATATAATACCGTCTAATAAAAGGATATGGAAATCACAGATTCAGGACTAATTAGTTTGGGTCCTTGATATCCGCTTCTAGTCAGGAAAAAAGAAAACATGACTGAAGGCCTTCATAAATAATACTGCTGAGGTATCAGAACCACATTGGTTCATGGACCTGGAATTTGATCAAACAGTTAACAATAATGTGTGTATCCGCCCTTTTATATTTAATCCACTACATATTTAAATATGTTCTACCTTGTCACATGCTTCACCCAAGTTTCATGAAAATTGGGCCAATAGTTTTTCTGTAATCCTGGTGAAAAACTGTAAAAAAACAGCAAGCAGTGTCAACAAAACAGGAATGACAATAGTTGTCAAAATGTTGGTCCCAATTTACTCTTTGAATGATGATATCCGTGGAGTGATGAAGGACTTGTTCTTGTAGTTTACTCCATCTTTAAACACATGTTGACAGCTGAACACCAGAGTAGAAGACGAGATAAGAATCCATGACTTGAATTGAACAAAAAAAAAGAGAGTTTGGATCCACTTACACAGCGAGATGTTGTTAAAGTAAATAGGAGCAAATAGCTGATGTACACATAGTAAGCAGAGTAACTGATATGAAGAAGGCCTTTAGAGAAATGGGAAAATGGCTAAATGATCCAGGAGAAAAAAATGATGGTCTGGTGTTCACGAGACGTCTCCACAGAATCAAGCCGGCAGTTTTGCTTCCAGGTAGGTTTGGATCAAACGGTCTTGATTTAAGAGATCCTTCAAGGAAAAACTCCAGGGAACAATGTTTTGTTTGCTCTTCACTTCACAGATGCTAACGTTGCTAGTTCTACCTTGTAATGCTTCCGTAAATGGGGGGGTGGTAGTGAACTAAAGCGCGTTTTTCGTTACATTTCACATCCAGATATTTGTGAGGCTGCAGCTGATTCAAGCTTCAGTATTCGAAGATGGAGCGATGGATTCGTTCGGTGTTTGAACCGCCAGAGATAGGATCAACTCACCATTCACAAGACAAAATAGAAAGATGGATCCAAGACTATTTGTTGATCTTTGTATGGGTGTAACTGTCCATAGAGATGAGTCGCCACGAAAATAAGAAGGCATCGCCAGAACAATGAAGACACCACCAGTTGATCCCAGAGTTACAGATCCAGTCGTTACCAGTTGAACAGCGAGTTCTGTCCCAGAGTCATGAAGTAAATCTGACTGCTGCCTCCTGACTGCACAGAGGCAAAGAACACCTGCAACAAGAGAGAGGAATTATGTAAAAAATATATTTTGAAAAATACATGTCTTACTGGGTTGTAGATTCAAGCAGATACTTGAGAGGTAAATATCTAGATAGACTTGAATTTGTACCTTGTCGTTCCTCTCACACAGGAACTTGAGTTTTTGAGCCTTTTTGTGCATGAAGACTCCCTCCAGGTTCCCAGTGTTCGCTGACCTCAGCTCTATGGCCTTTTCTCCCCAGCCCATCACCTGGTTGGACTGGAGGTAGGCTGGAGACAAAGAGAGAGGGAGAGAGAAACACAGGAAGCATGGTTATCAACTGAGGGTCAACATACGTCTAACACAAACACAGTTACCGTTCCACATTTCCCGTTACATTGCTCTCCATGACTCAAACGCAATTTGGCTGTCTTAGTATTCATTTTAAAGACAGTGGTATTCAAGTTGGTAGAAGCAAATGACCCCACACAAAACATCTACTTATCTTTTTCGTCTTATTCATGGCAAACAAGCGAGAGGTGCATACGCCACCGACGGGACTGTAGTTGGTAACAGGAATTATAGCAAGACACTGGAGCATTAACTGCTCCTGTAGGCATGTCTATGGTGTTGAAGTGGATGTGAGTCACGTGGAATAAAATGACATGTATGGTAACGTAACTTAAGATTAGTATGGTGACACATTTTGGGCTGCACAGCGAAGGTCGAAAAGAACGGACATGGTGAATAACAATTTGAAGCGGACCATCAATGACACAAACAAATCAACGGTTGTTTTTCATTCATCTAACTTTATTCAAACCTGCAATCAGCATTTGCCGATTGTTGGCCAGTTGAAGAGTTTTACCATATCGCCTGAACCTAGTGTGTATGTGAGTAAAGTCATTCCCTACACCAGCACAGACACACACAGAATCACTAGCATCTTATTTTTAGCCCATGTGTCCCAAATCTGTCCTCACAGAAACTGGTTCAGGGTCGGCTCTCAGCGCTCAGGGAAGCTGCTGACCTGAAGTCCGTTATTCAGAAAGCAAACCACTGAAAACACATCCAGCCGTAACTGAAGAGCATGTTTCAATCCTTGTAATGATGTGTGTGTGTGAGTGAAACTCACCGACAGACGCAGGCATCTCCCCCCACTGCAGCACCGTATCCTTGGTGATGCGTCCGTAGGTGTCGATGTAGACGCCCTCGTCTTCGTAACAAACCAGAACCTCCGTCCCGGCGCTGTTCGGCAGGATGATGATGGCATGGGGACGGATGGAGCCCTGGATCTATGAGACAAACGCACACATTAGACACTATTTAAACCAAAATTGTTTAAAGAAGACTTTTTTGTGATTAAATCACTTAAAGTTAAATAAACCAAAACAGTTGATTGGACACTTATTCATACAATAAATATCTCTCTGAACTGAACATTATATTCAAACTGTTGACATTAAATTCATATTTACGTTATTCAGATGTTATCTGACTGTATCTTTCAATAGCGAACGGAAAAAATAAGGTTAAATTCATAAACCAATAAAACCCACTTAAGTTAGAGATGAATGAAAATTATTCAAAAATGTATTTAAAAAAAAAAAACAGCGAATGGATTTTCCTGAAATTCAACGAGATACTGTACAGTTGATAAACAGATGAAAAAGAGTGATATGTGGTTCATCATAATATAATATTAGATCAATTAAAAAACATTTTAAGACCCTAACTAAAGCACAAAGGTAAATTGAAAATAAATGTCAATGATATTGAGCAGGACAGACGTTTCTTTAAATGAAAGGACACTTTAAAATCAAACTTTAAATATTTGAGAGATGTTGATGAACAACTGAGTGTTAAGGACACAACAAATCGGACATGTTCAGGCTATTTCAAGCCAAAACTAGCAGAATAAAAATAAAGTAAAAAATTCACTAGTGTATTAATAGAAACAATTCATTGACAGTATAATTTAACTCGTTTTTTGCATGAAAGCACAACTGCTGCACTCATCTAAAATAAATGTTTTGAAACAACCCCCTATACGTTTATTTTCGTTTTAACCAGTTCAGTATAATTTATTCAGGTAGTTCAGAAACAAGATCTGTAACCACCAGAAACCCGTATCTCACAAAAGCGCACATCTGAAGAGAGAGGGGATCCCTGCAGCAAACACAGCAGTGAAATAGTTACGCACGGTTTTGTTATGTTACAAAAAGCAGGTAAACATAGTTCACGAGACCGCGCCTCATACGTTACCAGAGTGTGAGCCACTACGATCCTGAGCATCAGAACAGGCATCCAGAGACGCAGCGCTATCTTAATCCTCTGCCTTGGAATCAGCATTGTTACATAGTTTGCAAGCAGCAGTGGAAGATGCTGGTGTGTGTGTGTGTGTGTGTGTGTGTGTGTGGGATTATTTAAGTGGGCAAGTGTTGCCTTGTTGAAATGCAAGTGTTGCAAAAGTGAAATGCTTTTAGCAGTAATTAGGTAATACAAATAAGGATACACAGCTGTGAAGAAAGCCCGGGAGTTTGACGTGTCCTCAAGAATACTCAGAGAAAGTAAATTGAGGATGATGGAGAGTGTGTGTGTTTGTGTGTGTGATGTACGCTTGACTGTGTGTGTAAGAGAGAAGAAGAAGCCAAGCTGTAGAGCTGAGATTAAATCGCAGCAGTATAAGGCACCGGTGTGGTAGGGAGCTGTGTGCACACTGGCTCAACAGGACACACAGTTAATGATGGCAAGAGAAGGAGGACAGGGGTGGAGTCTTTTTTAGAGCTTATTTCTCTTTTAGTAAGTCTGTCTCTCTTCCCCCTTCCAGCTCCAACTCCCCATGCTTATAGAAAGTGGCACAAATCCATGTTCGCTGGGGAAGTGTGTGTGTGCGTGGGCTTGGGAGAAAAGGGTTGAGAACATCAATGAGAGACTGAGAGGGCGATACAATTCACAATATAAAAAGTAGAAACTTCCTCACCAAGCTAACGGTGCAGATGAGACTTGGGCGATATGACGAGATTATCGTTCAGTTGCCTACTTGTCAACAATATCAGAAGTACATTTTATTATGGTACATCTTTTATGAATATTATTGGATATTTCGTCCCTTTCTTTCCCTTGCTTTGTCTATGTTCTACTGCAATGTTTTACTGTAGCTTATCAAAACAAGTAAGAGCTATGCTAGCAAGTTAGCAAGAAGCTAGCCTACTAAATTATCGTCCAACGTGATTAAAGGTTGGCTGCAAATATGGTCCTTACGAGGCCACGATTACAGACAAATATTTGGTTCTCTTCAGCTCTTTATTCAATCTCTCTCTTTCCCTTGCTTTGTCTATGCCATACAGCATTGTTGTAGCGTAGCCAACGGTTAAAACGTTAACATATGCTAGCAAAAAGCAAGAAACTAGCATATGTGTGATGCTGAACACAATCAACCACGTAGCCTTCACTACAGCAGAAAAGAAGTCCACTCTTATTAGCAAATTCATGCACATGAGCCAATTTGACAAGAATGTTAACAAAGTGATTTGTAAGAGATGCAATAACCAAGTAGGTCTTGGAATGGATGGAATTTGTGGATGGAAACACCACAAATCTCTATCCTTAAAACTCACTATCCAACAGAATACGCAATTCTGCAACAAACCATAACCAATAAGAGCAGCTGGACCAAAACTCCTGCCCCGGTGAGCGATCAACCCCAGATCAAAAGGGCTTCCGCAAGCGCAACAAATATAAACGCACGTATTTAGATGTATAACTATAAATGTGTGTCTCTGTTTTTAGCTTTGTTTTTAAGGATCATTTTGTATATATATATTTTTTATAAGAGCATTATCGTTAGTAGGATAACTTCAATATCGTCGTATATGGAATATTTAAAAAGTATTTCACAAAGACCTCCACTACTTTAATTTCAGATATAAAGGCATATAGGCTAATATGTGGCCTACACATTGTCTTAGCGCTCACTCCAATCTTCAGTCATCAGGTTGAACTCTGTTTTTCTTAAACCATGGCAAATATTCAAAGTGGGTATTGGCTTCATGGACACATTATCACAAAGTGATTAAAAGATGAGGAAAATCTTTGAATAATTCATTAAACCATAGAAACTGGAAAAGCCTGCTGCAGCCACCCACTCAACACCATATGTATGCACAGTGCATAGACCGTATATGAACCAACAAAACAAATAAATAACCTCAGAAATGCACTTTTCATTTATTACTGTATGCAAACCAGGCTAAAGAAAATATTTGTATTTCTTAAGTTTTTACACTTTCTTCATCTTGAACCTAAACCCTCTAGTTCTTTCTGAACATATTTAACCAGATGTGTTAGAATATGACTCACCGGAGGCTACAGTGAGATATATATGCCCACATACAGAGAGAATAAATCCCTTCTCTGTGTCTAATGGTACCAGCAGTGGGCAATTTGTTCACATTTAGAGAGGCAAATTAACTTTGGAGATGCAAAACACTTTACAGACTTCCATAAGTCATTGTAACTCAATGAAGGTTGAGTTATATAAATGCATTTCACAAATATTACCAACACATATCATAATGTTGTTGGATTGTTTGACATGTTTGGCCTGTGGATGCATTTCTGAGACTAACTGAAGAGAAGAAATGAAAAATATATTCTGCAGTGCGTCATATTGTATTTATAGACTGGTGGTGTAGGCAGCTGGGCTATGTATACCATTGGTAATTGGGCTTTATATCCTTTTTAGATGTCAGCATGGAAGCTCTACTACAAAACTCTAAACGAAAACATATACTACACTGATTTTAACATTTTAATTGTCCGTAAATTCACAGCAAAACAAGTTTCCGCTTATAAAAAATAAATAAAAAATGTGGGCACCCTACAGCTTGAAAACAAACAAGACAACAAAATACAGCCACATTATCTGCTCTACTTTTTTTGTGTGGCCGCTAGAAGATTGTATTGCTGTCAGACAGCTGTGAGCGATAAAGCTCATTCATAAAAAGTGAGGGCAAACACCTTCAGGTTGGTGTTCATGGTAAAATAACAATGTTTAAGAAACATATAGTCACACGGTAACACTTTATATTCAGGTACACAAATTCACCATCAACTAGTTGTTAATTAACATGCATATTAGCAGTATATTGGCTCTTTATTAGTTATTATAAAACACTTATTAATGCTTTATTCTACATGACCATATTCTACAACTAATAGGCCACTAGTTGAGATTTTTATATATACAGATGTAGCACTTCATTTCAGACTCCAGCTTCCTGCCTACGACCTGCCTAAAACCAGTATAGAGGAATGTTAAGCCCTCCCAATATTTTCCAAGAGGGCATTGCCAGATTTTCAATTTCAGGTTTTAACCAGGAGATGGCGCTTCATTCAAAATACAGAAAGACAAGTTTCATGGACTTTCAGTTGTGTTTTGAAGAGCATTTGAACACATCAATATTTTAGATACTATACTAAAATATATCTAATCTTGTAGCTCAATAATATATAGTCTTTATATATTAAATAATCATAATAATAATGTAAATGTTTACATTACACTTTATTTGTTATGCTCATACTTTTACCTTTACAATCGTTTGCTTTAATATGCAGTATATTTGTTGTATATTTTTGTGTTTGCTTCCTCCTGCTCCCTTTCGGACACATACTGTATGATTTATTATTATTATTAATATGAAGATATTATTAAGATAGATAAGATGTTACTTTATTGATTGAACATTTTAGTTTAGAATGTGCTGTCCCACGGTAATTCAGAAGGCTCACAGGTCACATTGCGACCATTATTTAAAACAATAGGTGCTTTCACACCGTCTACAGTTTGATTTGTATAGAGGGAGCTCTGTGGCTGAATGGCCAGATTAGGTGCCGCGCATTTATCATAGGTGATCAGAGCTAACTGCCTGCCGTCAGATTTCATTTAAAAAACAGATCTGATTTTAAGACTATTTCTGCGCTCATAAAGAATGATAAGAATAAGAATAATGCGTATTGAACTGGTTTCATTAACTAGTGAGTTTATTTAACAATAGAACCGCCAATCGGGTCAATTTGTGTGATGTGTGTTGTGTTTGTGCAATGTAACTTTATTTCAACAAAATATTAAAGTCTCACAGTCCGTGACTTTTCCTGAAAGTGTGTTAGCACCCTATGTTGTTAAAAATTGCATTCTAATAGCGGGATTTGACGGTTTTAGGTAGGCCTATACAAAAACCTCTGGCGGTTCTAGTGTTAAGGTAATGTACAGTAGAAGCCCTTTTTTATCAGTAACGAATTTAGCAGTTGAACATAAAAGTCAAACTAACATTGCAAGCCAGTGTTGTGTCTACTGTAAGCTTGTCACTCAGAGTAACCTACAGTTAATTTAGCTGCTGGAGAAGAAAGATCAGGGGGGGAGGGGGGAGAGAGCTTTGGTTGATGGGCCATTAGTTATGTAAATACACAGCTGAAAGCTGCCGTTTCATTCAGACTGTTTAAAAAATGGTAACAACGGACTATTTTTCTTAGCGGATGCATGTCAATTTAAATCAATACAACTATTTTTTAAATCAATAAAAACATTTCAATTAATATTGGGAGTCATCTCATTACTTTGTTGAGAATGTGGCCATGTAATAAGCGGGATAATTTGCAGCGACTTGTTCCTTATGGGGAAAATAACACCCTTCATGCTGATCAAGATCCCTCCGCTACGCGTTGGGATCCGGATCTGCCGTCGAGGCTCCATTAAAATATAAATATTTTTAGTGAATTTCTGAGTTTAGGCACGTTAATAACGTTTTAATGAAGTTGAATACAGTATATTCATATGTGTCAGTGATTTCATGTCAATTGTGGTGTGTGTAAACATAAATGATCGTTGTGAAGATGATGATTAAATTAGGATTAAAAATCGAGAGCCGGGCTGCATTTCCTCCTGTTCGTTTTTTTTGACTAAACAACATTATTTTGTTAAATAACAACATGTTGATGTTCTCCTTAAGTTTCGGTGGGTCCCGCCATACCAGTAGTAATTGTTTATACGGACAAAATTACCATTCTAATATGCTATGTTGCTTCGATGTTGTAGTTAGTGCTTCGTGAGACCGTTGTCGTCGGAAGTTTTAACCGGTCGCTCCATGAGGCCCCGGAGTCCCAAATTTGGTAGGTCGAACCGTTTCTAAATGGTAGAACCCTCGCCTCCTTCTCTCTCGGACCGGGCCCTTCATTTTGTGTCCGAATGTATGTTTTTGTCTGTCCCTCCTTAACTGGACCCCACCCCTTTCCGGTAGGGGAGAGATATCCCAGTAAGAGTAAACCCTCTAATGTTTGTGCTGACCAGGACAGTCGATGGGTTAGTCGGGCGCTCCGGTCGGTCCTCTGGGGCCCTTTTTGGTTTTTCAGAGAAGTCGAAACCCCCTACTATTTTGTCTCTGGGATGCCCCACAAGCCCGTGTCCCTGGCTGAGGTTTATTGTTCAAAACAATAGACATAGAGTGTAGCAACGTCGGTCCCCCCCCCCGTGTGTGTGTAAGGGGTATTATAAACCGGAGAGACAGACAACGCGGTGAAGTGGGGAGAACAATGGTGTGTGTTCACGCTAGTAAATAATGTTTATAGTGTACGACTCACATGGAGTTATAGTTTATTATTGCTAC